TAGTTTAACCCTCATACTTTGAAAAATTAGATCCTTCACCTTCTATGTCTGAGCCACGTCATAATCTGGAGAACACAAGTTTTCACAGCAATATTGCAATTGGTGGATTAGCAAATAATTGAGGGTTGGTGCCAATATTGTCTTGGGTAATCAGTCTTATCACGGTAAATATTATCTCTTCAATGATGATTAATTTTAACGTTATTTTGTCCAAGGGAATTTTTGATTAAATATTCATCATTTATTCAGAGTTCTTACCTGAATAAAACTATATGGACCAAATATATAATTTGGTTCCATGAATTAGAAATATTATTGGTATTAGTTTATATTTAATGTTGCGTCTTGATTATTTTATTATCATTCTTTATTAAAAATTAATAATGATATTAATATTTATATAATATTATATTATGATAACACGTCAATATAATTGTTCATGTTTATTTTGGTCATATTATTGTTTTTGACAAATCCCAGGCTAGAATATGTTCAACCAACCTAATGATTCGACCCAAATTTCGTTGCATCTGAATCTCCTGCCCAATGAGCTCATGCCTTTGTAGTTGATCCTACAAGAAAACTAGGCCTGAACAACGAAATCGAGAAAACTGAAAAATCGATACGAATCGAGTAAAATGGTTTAGTTTGATTTGACATTATACGGTTCGGTTTAAAGTATCAATTCTTTTGATTCGGTTCGGTTCGGATTTTTCATATGGAATCATTTATTCCATATTGAACCGAATAGGCAATTTTTTTAAAAAAAATTATAGTTTCAAATGACTTTTTCATTGAAAAACCGATAAACCGAACCGAAAAACCTGAACCGTTAAAAAAATCGAACCGAACAAAAAAAATTGGTTTCGATTTTTTCAGTTTTTTAACCATTCGGTTTCGGTTTAGGTTTAAATTTTGAAAAATCGTTTATTTCGATTCGGTTCAATTTTTAATAAAAAACCGAACCGAATACACCCCTAAAAAAACTTTGTTCACATAAAAATCAATTTCAATATTGAGATTTACATTTCGTATATATATATATATATATATATATATATATATATAACCATTAGTTTTCAATTTATTAATGATTGATTCAGATAGTGTATTGTAAAGGCAAGAGCGACCACTCCAACTTAATTTGCTTCATTTGCAAACTTCAAAATTCGAACAACTAACAATTTTTAAGAGATCTAATATCTCATCTCACTAGACAACTAGTTATTAGTATATATATATATATATTATGCATGCTTAGAGTTGGTAATATGTGTACGTGTTTAAAATATTTTATATAATATAAATATTTTTTGGTATTAGATATTTATATATTTTAATAATATATATACTTTTAAATAAACAATTTATAATGTAATACTTAAGATTATTATAATATTGATAAATTTATATATAATTTTTATCATCTTATTATTTAGGGTAATTTGTTAAATGAATTTATATTTGTTTATATATAGTTTATCAGTCTACAAATTTTATTTATTTAATATTAAATTTAAGATAATGTTTGGTTATACTGTAAATGAGAACTATATATTTCAGGATTAAGATTAGAATTGTTGAGTTGTTTGTAAAAAAACCAACAAATAAATAGTGAGATATTTAATTTTTTTAAAAAAATAGTTTGAGGGTGTTACAAGGTAATATATATTTAATTTTTTTAACTAATTAAAAATACATAGTACTTACATACAAAATTATTCGAACTCATAATATTTAAGAAAAATAATATATATTTTTAATTATTGACATCTTTTAACGGGTTCAGTGAGATATTTAATTTGAGTGAGTTGATTGAGGAAAACAATTATTGTTTTTTTTATTATTGAAACATGAATTTTAAGGGAATAGATGGATTTTGATGGCTAAAATGGAAATTCCAGTTTGAAGGCACCCAGTGTCGGAAAATAAATAAATAAATAAACAATAAAAGAAAATGGCAGAAGTGAATGGATAAGTGTTCCCTAAAGAGGTTGCAATCTCCTCCGATATTTCCTACATTTGCCTTTGCACCAGGATTCATTCACCGCTGCCGCCCTATTTACCGGAATATCTTCGTTTTCAAAATTAATTCGTGTTATTAATTTTCGAAATCACATCTTTTTATGTCTTGTAAATTGACAGAACACGTCTTTATTTATGTGATTAAAAACTAACAAGGGGTAAAAATATAAAAAAAGTTTTCAAAATTTGTCTAAAAATATATTATCTATATTTTCCTTTTAGATATTTCATAACGCTTTTGAAGGAGTGTCGTATAAAAAAGATAGTATTTCATGAATTAATTAAAAAATATTGATTTGATAATTAATTTTGATAATGGTGATATTCCGGCAAATATCTCGTGCCCCCTTCACAATTGGCCAATTTGCATGCATCCTTCACATATTTCACGGCTATGCTCATTTTACTTGCAATTTGCAACAAAAAAACAGAGACATCTTTATTTTAATTAGAATATTTGTCGTTCAAAGTAACATTTTTGTACGTGAAAAAATTATTAATAAAAACATATTAATATAAATAATATTATAATAATATAAGGTATAAAAAATTAAATAATAATATTAATATATCACAACCTATGTTATTGATATATATATTGTGATCTATTAATTCGATGAATGACTACAACTGTCTATGTGATTTTATATTGTGTGAATTCAAACCTCAACATTTATTTTAGAAATATAGTAATTATATTTAACAAAAAAAACTATAAATGTATATATTAAATAAATAAAATAAATATATTCTAATATTGATTTAGAAGATGTAGAAGATAATTTATTTATTTAAAATAACCTTAAAAGTACTTTCCATGAATAAAAAAATCCATTATTAGATGAGAATTTGAATTGAGTTATTCCAATCCAAATACTTGAAAGAGTTTAGTCCGCGTGCGTGCGGGGCCTACATTATGGACAGAAAGCGTGACGCAAATATGGAGCTGACTGGGTAAGTTGCAAGGCAGTCAAGGATGGGAAGGCCATAACCCCAACTACTCCCAAATTCCGCCTCTAAAAATATAGGAAAAACTAAACGTTTAGTACCTTAACTATTTTTGTTTTCGGTCATTTAATTATTTTTATTTTAAAAACATACATAATATTAGATTTTAGTTTAATTTTAGTCACCTATCTTTAAAAAATTAACGATGATGTTAATGTGTCACCATAAGATAATATTGTATCATCACTGAATTTTTTTTAAAATTACCACGTTAGTAGTACTGTTAATTTTTTAATAGTGTGTTAACCAAAATGAAACTAAAATGTAACGTTAGGTGTGATCTTTGAAAAAAACTAATAATTGGATGGTCAAAATGGAAAAAAATTTATAGTTAGGTACTAAACATGTAGTTTACCCAAAAATATATGTAAACTAAATATAGGGTAAATTACATATTTTGTATCTCAACTATCACTTATGTTCCATTTGGTCACTCAATTATTTTTCCCCAAAATAATGCCTAATGTTATGTTTTGGTTTCATTTCTGTTACACACAGTTAAAAATTAACATAAATATTGATATGACATTAAAAAAATAGTGATGACATGACATTACCTTTTAGTGACACATCATCATCATCATTAATTTAATCGGTGTGCGATCAAAATTAAATCAAAATATAAATCTAAGTATGATTTTGAAATAAAAGAAAATTTAATTGACCAAAATGTAAAGTTAATATCTATTATTATTTTTAATATATGATTCATTTATATAATTAATTTTTAAGCTTATATTAAACTACTCAATGTAGATTTTTATTATTTTCATTTTATACTTCATGTATATATATGATTTGTTAAATTTATGTGTTATTAATTATGATATTATTACATGTTTTTATAAAATGTTATTAATTTTATGTGAGATTCTTATTTATTTAGATATTTTTTAAATACAAGTATTATTATCAAATTAAATAACATATAATCAACTTTTAAAATTATAATTCTCTTGCATTTTTTATATATAATTTTTAAAATTTAAATGCATAATTACTTTAAAGTAAATTTTGTATTTTATAATATTAATTTTTAGATCCGAATAAAATGGTATTAATATATTATTCAAAAACATAAAATTATAAATAATAATAAAAAATATGTTTAGGATTAATTAAAAATATCAAGTTTGATATAACTCGTGTTAACAAAGTATTCAAGTAAGGATAATGATGAACAATAAAGAACAAGCAACTTGGAAGAAGAAGAATACTAAATTGATATAATTTTTAAATACGAAGGATTTAATTTATTGAATTATTTCAAGTTAAGATTAAAATAGTCCAAGATATAAATTGTAAAGACTAAAATTATTTTTGCACCAATCATTTAACTATTATATCTGATATTCAAAAAACCAATAATATATTTATAATAATATTTTAATTAAACGAGTAAATTATATTATAAAAGAAAATCCATTTGTAACTTAACTAATAAGTAATAACCTACGTATGGTTTATCCTAATTTTTTTTATATTTTTAATCGTTCCATCATCAAATATACAAGATTTATTTAGATATATCATCATCACTACATCTTATATACATTGAAATTTAAGTTTACATCATCTTATAGAAGTAAATAAATTTAGGGCAAGTATACCATTAGTCATCAAGCTATTATCCTTTTTTCATTTTAGTCGCCAAACTATTTTTTAGTAAAATCATCATTATCTTTACATATATATTATTTTGGTAAATAAAAATTAAAATATTAATGGTAATAATAACGTGAAAAAGTAAAAAAAGAAGAAGGTAAAATCATATTAGCATCGTTGCTATTTTCTAACAATAAGTGATTAAAATAAAAAATAACAACATAACATTGGTTATATTTTATAATAAAATAATTTGATAGCTAAAGTAGAAAAGAGATGATAATTTGGTGATAAATAGTGTAGTTTACCCAAATAACACAGAAAAAAGGGCAAAAAGATGAAATGAACATAACAGCAAAACAAAACCAGCTAGGCATTAACTTTCTGCTACTCAAGCACATCTTTTGTTCTCTTTTCTTTTCATTCTTTCTCTTTCTCTCCAAATCACCCCCCACACAGGAAATCCTCAAATGGAATCCCCGCCTCCGCCAGCCGCGGCGGCTCCTCCTCTCACCACCACCACCATCACCACCGCCACAGCTTCAGCCGCTCCCTACGCCGTCACTCCCGCCGCCTATCCCGATTCTATTGACTCCTCGCCACGCTCCCGCAACACGGACTCGTGGGATGACCCAGCTCTTCCCACTACTCTCCACTCAAAGCTCCGCCTCATGTGCAGCTATGGCGGCACAATCGTCCCTCGTCCTCACGACAAAGTCTTATGTTACATCGGCGGCGACACTCGTATGGTTGTCGTTGACCGCCACACTACCCTCGCTTCCCTCCAACACCGCTTGTCCCTTTCTCTTCTCCGCGGCGGCCCTTTTACTCTCAAATACCAACTTCCCTCCGAAAACCTCGACTCTCTCATCTCCGTTACAACCGACGAAGACCTCGAAAACATGATCGATGAATACGATCGAACTTGTTCCCAAACGACGTCGTCGAGTAAGTCCTCCCGTATTCGCCTCTTTCTTTTCCCTCTCAATCCGGACGGTACCCTAGCGTCTTCTCATTCAATTGGACCGATCATTAACAGTTCCACCAAGTCCGATGAATGGTTTCTTAACGCGTTGAATGGGTCCGGGTTGTTGAACCGAGGGTTTTCGGATCCGATGACGAACGTGAATTTGTTGGGATTGGATGAAGATCGTCAGGGGAACGTTGTTGAAGTTGGATCGAAAGATGAAGGGAGTGGGAGCCAGAAGAATATGAATTTGAAAAGTCAAGATGTTCACTCGGTTCCTGATTCTCCCATGCTTGAAACTTCTTCTTCTTTTGGTTCAACTTCTTCTTCTCCTTCGCTTGCCAACTTACCTCCAATTCGAGTACATGCTGATGATCAGAAGGAGCATAGAGTGGGAATCGAGGAACAGTTTGCTCAGTTTACTGTAACGGCTTCTTCTGTCGCTGCAGCTGGTGTGGGAATGAAGCAACAGGATGAAGTGTTTGTGGCTTTGTCATCCCAACCGCCGATGCCGGTGGGCATCGCCGCTTCTGGAGGTGGGATGTTCTTGAATTCAGGTGTGATTCCTGGGGAGTATACAAATCGGGTTCTTTCAGATGATGAGAGATCAGATCATGGGGTTCCTGTGGGTTATAGAAAAACACAAACTTCTCAGCCTCAGCCTCTTCAGAATCAACAGAAGTATAGCAGTGGTCAAGATTTGGCTTCTCCAGATTCAATCTCAAGGTACAGTTTTCATAGTCTTCGAATTACATTTCTGTTCTTCAATTATGCTGGATTTACGTTTAGGAAGTTGCCGAGTTTGTTGCTATGATTCTTCAGTGACACTAGTTGTTCTTGTTCTTCAATTATAATTTGATTTGCTGTTAAGAAGTTGCTGAGATTGTTGTTATAATTGTTTCTGTTATTCAATTATGCTTGGATTTACCATTTAAAAGTTGCTGAGATTGTTGTTTATAATTTTTACAGTGACAGTAGTTTTACAAATCCACTATCACGCCCAAAACCTGTGATTTATCAAGACCCAGCTCTTCAGATCCCATCTGGGGTTAACAGGGTTCCTGCAAACGCTGTTGATCCAAACACAATTGGCCGAGTTCAGGTACAACAACCAGTTCAGGATTCTGGTTATGTATTGCTGCAACCTCAATTAGACCAACAGCAACAACAGCAGCAGCAGCAATTCTTACATGCCGCTGCTGAACCACATTACATTCATCATCACCCCTCTGGAGCGGTGCCAATATCAGCTTATTATCCTGTACACCCTTCCCAACAGCAACAACATCATCATCATCAAACACAGATTGATCAGCAATATCCCCTGTATTATGTGTCTGCAAGGCAGCCCCAAGCATACAGCATGCGTGTCCAGCAACCTAGCAATAGCATCAATGAATCCCCCACAGGAATCCCTTCAAGCCGTCCACAGACTCCTTCCAATCCTACCATGGCTCATACTCATGTAGCATACAACCCAATGATAAATGCTCCTCTTGCCAAAACCGGAATGACTGCTGCCACTGGCTTATACAGAACATCGAATACAGGTAACCCACAACTGATTCAACTGCAAAACAGTCAGCATCAGCAACAATTTATGGGTTACTCACAGATTCATCATCCTTCACAATCTGTTGCACCTACCTCCACTGCAACTGCCACATATGCTTATGAATTCAACGATCCTGCTCATGCTCAGATGTATTATACCCAGCCTCTGGCACCCAACATGCCTTCTCAGTACCAAACCATGTCTGGAGTAGTACTGCCAGATGCATCTGCGCAACCCCCGGCTGTTAACATCGAGTCACAGATCAGAACCTCACAGCCAATATAAATCAGTCAAGAAGGAAACAACAACAATTTTGAAAGAAGAGTTTGGTTTATATCTTTAAATTCTATTTTTGTGTCTGCCTTTAATTTGGTAATGGTTTGTGATATGTATTTGTGAAAGATAATAAGGAACTCTATGGTCTTTTACTATCTTGTGTATGTCATATTGCTGGTATTGTCATAGGAAATGGAAGTCGTCTGAAGATTTATACTGTACGAGCTCAAACTCTTATATTGTGTGCAATTCATATATCTGTTACTTGATAATGGTATACAATATCAAGTTATTTTTTGCTTACATTGTTCTTTTTCCAGGGCTCCTATTGTATCGAGTGTTTGACATCGATACACTCTTCCAAGTCTCTAACCCAAAACGAGACTTGAGGTGAAGTTCCTGAAATAAAGGAGACTTATCTCACTATTTGATTTGATGGAGTTGCAATTTCTCCGAGTCATGCAGCACTCTCAAAACCGAAAGACACTATGATCTCTGTCTGCTCTTATTGACCCCTTCAACATAGCTTTTGTCCTTAATCTGGTTTCCCATCGATAAAACTTATCCATATTGCTGCAAATTTCTAGTTTCTTGCCACGAATTCTGCTAGGTTTTCATCATTGATATTTACAGTTGATTAGTTTCATTCTTAGGAACGTGCACTAGGTTTATTTATGCTGCTGGTTTTATAGGTTACATAAAGGATTTCTTCTTTTGTGTAGGTCCTCAAATCTCATACACCCTCCTTAGTCCTAATTGTTGCATACTTTATAGCAAACATTATTTGTTGCTCCATCTACATTTACTCCTAGAAACACTGTCTGTTGCAATACTCAACTTTCAATGGGTGAGTATCAACAGGTACAGGCATCGTTTCCTTTGAACTTCATGCATGCTAACAGGTATTGCTTTTCTCTGCTGGAAATTCTTTTAGGTTTTCAAACTTCACCTAGTAGCAGGCCCCATGCCTATGCTATCTGGAGTCAGACTCAATTTTAATGTTTTTCAAATCTTAAAGGGTCATCTTTTGATACTCATGTTACATTACAAATGCTGAAGATGATCTTTTAAGAAAAATGGAAAGTTTGGGTAGGAAAGGCTTATGCTGATATTTTGACATTCTGAAATTACTTTCAGCTGTCAAACTTCACTTTAGGCTTTGCTTTATGTTATTTGAATACGAATTCAATATGTTAAAAGTTTTCATATACCTAAAAGATATATTTTGTATCCGTGAATAATGAACTTTGAGTATTTCTTTTAACAAAAGCTCCTGTTGATATTTCTGACTGGGAAGCTTCCATTTTGTAAGAGTTCAGTGCCTGTGTCCTGAATTATTCTTTTCATGCTTCTCTCTTGGCCATTGTTTCATATATGAATCCTAATCTTCTTCATTGGGAAGTAACTTTGATTTTCTCCCGGTTTTGGTCTGGCTGGCTGCCTACTTTTCAATTTTGTACGTCATTTTGCACTCCTTAAAAAATATTTTAAATTACATTTTTCTCAGCTCTTTCCTTTCCTTTTCTCATTTCAAACAAACTAGTCAATACAATATTGATGGATGTCTCGATCTCATATTGTAGAATGGGCATATGCCTTTATTGATTTATTGTTGAACTATTTAATTTATAAAATATTTTACAAATGTAAAACGATTGGAGGCTAAATGCAAGCAATTATTGAATTCTGGGGGCCATCTCTTTTTCTACTTTTTAGTTTTAATCAAATGATTCTTTGACAATTGTTGTGAAGCAATTCCAAACACATTCGTTTCTGATAACAAAAACACATTGATTCTCATGTTGGGCCACGAATATTACGTTTTGGGTATATCGTAAAAGTACATTTTAAGGAATATTTATACAAATTTTGGTAAAGTGTATATATTGTTCTAGACATTATTTTTATTTAGTTATTCAACTATTAAAAGTTATAAAATAGTCTTTTGACTATATGATGTTTTGTTAAATTGCTCGACTACTAAAAGTTATAAAATGATCATCTGACTATTTATATGTTCTAAACTCTGTTTGTGCCCCAAGAACGTATTCGTTCAAAGAGCTAGCAATGACTTTCTTCCCACCCGGAAATCGTAGTAAGCCAGGAGAAAGACATTCATATTCACCCAGACACGGGATAAAGCGAAAAAGAGAGTCAAGTGTCGGGAACGCAATCAAAAAAATTTTCCTCGAGCGCATAGAGGAAAGTGTGAGTAGCTAAGTTCGTTATAGATGATATCGCCTTATTGTCGAGAAAACACTATTTTGTAACATTCCGATTGAAGCATATGTGTAGCTACTTTGTAACGTTATATGTGAATAATCAAATGACTATTTTGTAATTTTTAATGATACATATACAAATAACAATTTTAATGATCTGAATTTTTAGATATTCGAAATTTCAGATCAGATAATATTCGATATCTGAAAATATACACCCCCAACTGACACCAGACGCTGATTGATGAGTTTTCAAAAAGTATATATCATATTCGATACTAGAAGCGAAATTATAGAGAGTATATGAAAGTTTATGCTGTGCATGGTAGATAGAACGAAACACGTTACAGTCGAGTTAGATAATATTAACGTGGTGTAGATGCGTAATATATAAAATTTTAAATTTATTCTAAATGACGTGGGATCATCTAACTCAGTTTTGTCTGTCTAAACTTGTCATCTTTTCCGGCAAAAATGTAATACAGATGGAATACCTAGTGTTTAGCCCTTATACATTTTTTTGTTTCTTAAAACGTGATTCTAGGTATGAATTTTTCTCAATGAAGTCCTTATAAACACATTTCTAATTTCTTTACTAGAATCTAAAAACGTGAAACTAGGGATAAATTGCAAAAATAAGAGTGTTAAAGCCTCATCACAAAGAAACGAAAGTCGATGACATTTTTCTATGTAACACTGCAATGATGTTTAATTCGTTGTAACCTTGTGAAGCGTGGATGGATAATTAACCATTTACAAACATGGGAAATTAATGAAAGCTACCTACCTAACCGGTGAAGTCGGGAAGAGTTTGAGTTCCACCACCGCAGGTGGAAGAACCATAGGCCTCTCTGCCTGGGTTACGGTGGGTTTATCTCTGGATGCTCCACCGCCGGCACAGGATAACATGATTGCTGCAATGAGAAAAAAAAGGTTGGCATAACTGGTGGTAATCAGAAGAGTTTTGAGTTGTTCATCCACCGCAGCCTGCACCACATCCGGCGGCGCAGGTGGAAAAGCCGTAGACCTCAGCCTCGGTGGCGGAGGCTTTGTCTTTGGATGCTCCACCTCCGGCACAGTTTAAAATGATCGCCGTAATGATAAAAAGGGTGGCTAAAGCTACCCAAACGATAAAAACAACGCCGCCGGCACTGGCTTTATCTTGACTGGTTCCTCCCCCACCGGTGTAACCACGTCTTTCCACTGTCGAACCATGGAATCTTTACGCAGAAGCAATTCTGTGAAATGTTAATGGCGGCTCCAGGTTATAGTTTAATCGTAATGTAAACCTTATCCTTCTTTAAACCCCACTTTGTGGGACAAATATAAATAAAGTAAAGATGGTAATAATAATTAATTAAATTTTAAATTGTGGTGTTTAACCTCAAGCGTTTACTTTTAGTTCATTAAATAAGCAAACTGATAAAACGATAAAGCCATGCCGACACACCATAATCAGTCATTTTCCTAGGAAGATAAGAGACAGGCATTGGGACCCTTGGGTTGCTTTTTGGGTTGGCTAAACCTATTGTTTTAATAGCAGCAATAGAGATCAAAATGTATACGTTTTTAATTGCTTCAACGGTTTCAATATTAATTGTTTTAATTTAATTGACTAATAACTAATACGACTTTCAAAGTTCAATTATGGCATATGAATTGAATTTAAATGAATTACAATTAAAAATCATGTGAGTTATAATTAGATAAACATACTATAACAGTTCTTATATTGCATTTGCATTTTGATCTCCCAACTAAATTAATTAATTAATCTTTGTTCATCTTCAAATGAGTAAAATGGTTCCTCGTTAAATTTTTGTTCATATATTTTCACATATATATTTTTTTAAACCATAGCTATGATCACTTAATTATTTTTTTTTTCTTTTTTATCATTGATCTTTTAATTTTGTCAAACAGATTACTTAACTATTTAATTGTTACCAATCAAGCCACATGTCATTAACCTTTAACAGAGAAGGTGAGGTGATTGATAACAAAATTAGTATAATTACATATTTAATCCTCATTACTTAGACATTCTTTCAAGTTGGTCCTAATTTTAATTTTTATTACACGTGTCACCATCTAATTGGAGGATTAACTTTATTGAATTAAATTAAAATTAGGATTAAATTGATAGAATGTGTAAGTAATGATGACTAAATATATAATTATACTAATTTTGTTAACAACCACCTCACATTCCTGTTAAATGTTAACGACGAGTGACTTGATTGTCAAAGGTGAAATAATTAGGTGATTTGATTGACAAATTAAAAGATCAGCGATCGAAATAAAAAATAATAATTAAGCAATCATATATATAATTTATCCATATAAAAATAATTTATGATATATGATATATTTCTCCATAGTATGTTCAAGAAATTTTCGAAGAGTGTCTCACAAATTTGATGTCTATGTATTTAAAATGATGATTTTATGCATGGATCAAGTAAATTAAGTGAAAAAAAGATTTATTATTATTTTTTAATATCCTAAATTCGAGTATTGTAAATGTCAAAATAATTAATGTTGATTGTTAATCGTACAAAGTAAATTTATTTTACTCATTGAAGTTATAATCGGATGATGATGACAAATCACACCCCAAGGAGTATGATAGAGATAACGAAATGGGACATCCATTCTCTCAACATCCCACCCCCCTGTTTTTTTATCGTCACCTTCAAGGTTATCAACAACAAATTCGCCTCCGAGATCTCCGGCGGCAAATTTTCCGATAACAACCGTATCTTGACATTGTTTTTCCATTCAACGACTCTCAAAGATGCGGTTCTTGTGTTTTTGCACCTTGTACTACTATTAACCTAATCATATGTTAAGCACCATAATATTAAGTCAAACTGATATTTTTTTTTATTTACTCCTACAAAATTCTCTATTTAATACTTAATATCAAAATAGCACATTTAACATTCAATTTGTATTCTAATTGAATAATCCATTTATTATCCAAAACTCACAATCTTTTCACCTCCTACATAGTGTTTGATTCATTAAATCCGAACAATACTGGAACCATTGTAAGCAACGACTCCAGTGTGTTGGGATGAAATTTCCTGGCAAAAAGGAAGCAAATCGAGCATGTATGACCATTATAAGTACAATTAGATACTTGCCTAATTCCTTCCAGCAATGCCATTGATACATCTTTTCTCTCATATTGTGTGGGGTGTGGACCGCCGTTAGTCCAATCAACCCAAGTGATGCTCCGATTCGTGTTAAGCTCCGGCGAGATTTTGTTGACAAGAGTTGATACGTAATGTTCATCTACGTAACATGGAGGGTTGCAATAGTTTCTAAACAGAGGGTAGTACATTTCATCTGATATTATATTGAGGGCGAGCTTTCGATTGACCTCGAACCATTGCGACCCTTTTCGCCAATCGGCTAACGAGACCTTCGGCAACATCTGCTTGTTGTAACGGCCACGGCCGGTTGGCCTGGGATCATCGAATGAACCAATGAAGCTTTGCTTGGCGTTAATGAGGTAGTTGTAAACGGTGGTGAAGTTGAATACCGGGATGCATGTTTCCGAGAGCAACACGAATCTTTCATTGGCGCAGTCGAGCAGCGCATTGGCTAACAGCCGTCTCTCGGCATCTACCATTGTCGCGTTTCCCCATTGAACAGGCTGCAAAAGAGAAACAAATTTACATATGAAAAACCTCGAATTAATTCTCAAATTGTATACGTCTATGAATCAAAAAATCCGATCAGCCTCAGTTACTCCCTGTTCTATAGTCCTCGTTTCTTAAATCTCACCTTGCTCGGTATCTTGCGCTTGTAGAACACCGAGGTTACAGGTGGCTCGTCGACGAACTTCGGAGATGTATGGATGTAAATGGAGTAAAGCCCTTCATGTCCCATGAAGAACTTTTCCCAAAGGGGTGCTAAAGGCAATGATCCCCTGCTTAAAAACATGAACGCCACCTTCGGGGTTGTGTTGCCCGAGGACACGATCACATTTGGACATACGACAATGGCACGTCGCTTCACCTCCTGATCATCCGTCACTGAATGCAACGTGCTGTTGTGGTCCGGGGCGCGTATCAAAGTTTTCAATTCCAAAGAAGAGTTGAAAGGCGGGTGGGGAAGAGATGATGGTAAACCAAAGTTAGATAAAATGTATGAATACGGATAGCTCATCGACGTAGGAAATCGGTTAAGTCGAGGGAAGCAAGGAGAAGAGCCTTCCGAGACCAACAACTTGAACGTGAAAGTCCCGAGAAGAACCACAAAAGAAGCCATTGATAACAGAAACAACGAAGTTATAGTAATATGAAACTTTCTTCTAATGCGAGAGTAGAATTCCCTAACGAAACCTGTCATTTCAAACTGCTTAAATCATTTTTGACACAATAATTAGGACCGGAAACGACGGTTTTAAGTGCTGATGGAGTTTAGGGCAAGGCCTAAAATCGTATGTAAATCCATGAATGATCACATGGATGGTGACATTAAAACCTGATTTTGAGGAGAAAATGGAAAGGGAAACGATTTACAAACTTTACAACAATTTCTTGTAAATGTAGATAAAAAAGTGAGGATTAAGCTAACTTGAAGTAGAAACAACAAAAATTTAAGATCTAACGTCGGATAACAGAAGTTTAGGCGTTACCATGGTAGATGCGCATGGAATGAGCTGCTGCTGCCTATTCGGTCACAACACTGGAATGCACAACCCTGTAAGGAAGAGAGCAAGAATTTTGGTTTGGTGTCCTGTCTTTTATTTTTTTAGGATAAACTACATGTTTATTACCTAAACTATCACTCTTGTTTGTTTTGATACTCAAACTCTTTTTTTTTTCAAATCACACCTTAAATTTTCATTTTGATATCTCGTCGTTAAAAATTTAATGGTGATGTTGATGTGTTACCATAAGGTGTTGTCATATCATTATTGAAAAAAATAAAAAATATCATATTAATAGTTATGTTAAGTTTTTAACCGTAAGTATAAAAATAAAATCAAAATAGAATAAAGATAATAATTTAGATATTAAAAATATAATTTATTTTTAAAGTAAGGTGGAATTAATGTGATTTGACTTTTGTCTGCACATTATATACTTAGAAGATGAGTGTTGATGAATTTGGCGAGGTAGCGCCTTAGCCATGAAATTGGTGAGCATCATCTTGTCATTTTCTTTATAGCGGTGGTGGGTTGGGTTGGATAGTTTCATAATATTAGGTAGCGCCTTATATTTTAGACAAGAATATTGAAAAAAAGCCATGTATTTTTATAATAGTTTGGAATGATCATAAGATAATAGATATTCATATTTTTTTAATCAATTGATAATGTATATATATTCTTTAGACGCAGTTGTTCGAATCTAAGACTTTCAAAAAAAATAACATTTATTTTTATCATTGAGGTCACTTAATGAATTTTTTTCCATATATTTTTAAATATCGATTAATGGTGATCATTGCCTCCCAAAGATATATTATATGTATGAAATTATCCCTTAAAATATTTTTTAAGATATTTTAACCCTTAAAGTTTAAATCGTTTATGTTCACCCCAAATTATTAATTCCATTAGGAAAAAAATAGTAACCAAACGAAAACACGCCCGCATCAGCCCTTTATTTTTATTTTTATAAATAAATAAATGAAAGCCAATTAATAAAAAGTATAAATAATATCCCTAAATACCCTTCTTCAAGCTCAAAATTGACTTGTCTTCTGCGAAATTTAATGTTTTGGCTAATGGATCCTTGTTACTGCGTAGTTTTAGTGCTCACAATATGGTGTTAAAAAGAGTTTTTAGTGAAACTTGATGGTGAAGTTTTTGAAATCATGTTTAGTCCTCTGGGTGATTCTGGGTTTGCTTTTGTTAGTGCAATTGATATGTTTTCAGCTCCAAAAGAACTTAACATTCTAGGTTTTAGAGACTGTTCATAGGGTTAATGTTGGTGGATTGGAATTGACTCCTTTTAATGATTCTTTGCGGAGAACTTGGATCCCAGATGTTGGCTTCCTCGTGTCCGAATCCGCTGCGAAGAAAGCCGACACCACTCATGTATCGAATTATCAGAATGGCGGCGTGACCCGTGAAACTGCACTGGGCAATGTTTATATGACCTCACGAAAGATGAACCGAGATAAGTCGACGTTGAATGGGGATGTCGGGGAAACGGAGGGTTTGACAGTGGAGGGGGAATGAGGAGTATTTTATGAATATTATTCACTTTACTTTTTAGTTGATTTCCATTTATTTATATAAAATATAAAAATAGAGAGGTTGTGTGTTTTGATTGATCATTTTTTTTCCTAATAAAATTAACGATTTGAAATAAATAAGATAATTATTTAAATTTTAAAAGGTAAAAATCTAAAAAATATTTTAAGATACAATTCAATATAAATAATATACTTTGGGGTTAATAGTATATTTAATCCTTAAACATGTTCATATTTCTCTTTTATGATTAACTTACTCGGTGGATATTTGTAATTGAAAAGGCAAATTAACCTCCCAAAAGTTAAAATTTTAGAGTCCGTTTCACTTTAAAAAAATATTGATTATTTTATTTTCAATCTCTCTCTCTCTCGAAAAATAAGAAATATTAAATAAAATAGAGATTAACTAAATAATTTTAGTAATTAAGAGATTTGCTATTATTTTTGAGATTTTGAATTCGAACACCGTGTATGTCATGTGTATAAATATTCATTGTCAAAGAATTAAGCGTCTTCGAAAAGATATTATATTGTATTTACCTTATTTTTATAAAAATAATTATAAAATTAAAACATAAATTCTAGAAAATAAAAAATGTAAAATATAAAATGACTTAGAAGTGTGTGGTTCAAATTTTAAATTATTATTAAAAATTAAAAGTTAAAATGATAAATTATATATTTAATTTACAATAATAATTATAAACTCTTATTATAATATTGAATACTCAATCTTCAATAAAACTAACGATTTCTATTAAAAAAATTATCTTAATTAATTCTAAAAATATTATCTCTCTTAAATTCTAAAAATATTCTTAATTATACTGGAAAATGCATACATAATCAATAATAAACATAAAACATTCCTCGTCTTACCAATGGCCTGTATAAATAATTTTTTTAATGAAAACTGAAAAGCCAGAATCTTTCATTTCTTCTGTCATCCACTCTCTCCATAACGTATTTAAGTGGGGGAAAAAGAGCAGATCTTTACTTTGAAATTTCATCTTTTAATCGGGAATTTCTGTAAATTTAAAATTTCAAAACCCTATCTAGCTCCCTCGTTTTCCCTTATATTCTTTCGTAACTCGGATCTCTACTTTCTTTATTTCTTTCTGTGCCTTTTCCTTTTCCCTGGAGTTGAAAGGGAGCGCGCCAATACGGCGTTGAATTTCGCGTAATTCGTTTTTTTCTGTTTGAAAACTGCTGATATATTACTGTTTTCTTTCTATATTTGTAGATCTGCACCTGTAATTTAAACATATTTGGAGGTAGTTTTTAGATAGAAGAAGGAAAATAAAGTGTTTTTTTAATAGAGGGAAAAGAGGGGAATAAAAAAAGAGATGCGTTCAAAGAAGATGGAAGGGCCTTCGGCCCCGACTATACGTCGAGACCCTTATGAAGTTTTGTCCGTTTCAAGGGATTCTTCCGATCAGGAGATCAAAACTGCTTATCGAAAGCTCGCTCTCAAGTGAGGATCTTTTTTCCCCTTTAATTCATATTTGTGTTTTTGTTGGCAATGCTATAGTTAGTTTAGTATTAGATTGGACTTCGAACTAATCGGTAGTTAGTTCTGTTTTATGAGTTACTATGCAAACAATTTAATAGTGAGCTCCATCTGCCTACAAACTGACATAAATGAGTGAAGTTTGACGGAAGTTTATAGACGAGTTTCGTAGTGACATGTATTTCCTTTCCTGCACTAATGATAGATCTATATCTGACCTGTAAGAATTATTATTAAGCCATATCAAATGCTTGTTTGGTTTGGTTTACTTTTAACTTCGAACCCTTCATATTTTCCCTTTTTTTTTGTTCTATCGACAGGTATCATCCTGACAAGAATGCCAACAATCCTGAGGCTTCAGAGCTTTTTAAGGAAGTTGCATATTCTTATAGCATTTTATCTGACCCAGAGAAGAGAAGACAATATGACACTGCAGGGTTTGAGGTGCTTTCATTTCCTTTCTTTCTTTTCACTGATTTAGTATTTTCTGTTATGTTCAAAATTGTCTTCTATATGTTGTAAATAATTAAGCCTCGCACATCAATTCAAAAGGGAAAAAAGAGCTTATGATTAGAACAAGTTTTATTGTGAACACCAGTTTTAGGTTGCAGTTACAAAGAATTACTAATTGACATAGAAATTGAATGAATGCTTCTGATAGACCAAGAACTTTTTCACGTCAAATAAGAAACTATTTTGTTCCTCCATAGTATGGTTAGTTGACTATTATATAATTCTAGACTACATAAAATTAAAATTGCTTTTTTTGATGCTGAGGATGAATTTTCTTCAAGACTGGTTAAAGTAGAGATTGTTAAAGCCAGAACCCGGTAAAGTTATAAGCAGAAGCAAAATAGATTGAGGAAGGGCTATCTCGGATATTTTAGAGTTGCCTGGCTGCTGATTGAATTTTTTCTGGCTGCTGATTGAATTTTTTTTCTTATTATATTTAGGTGTGAAATAAGTGTCTATTAAAAAGGCAAGACTCAACATGAAGACCCGGTATATTATAGAATTGTTTGGTTCTTATCTTTCTTTGGAATGACATGGAAGAATTGTGATTTATTGAGGTCTGATTGAGAAGAAAGAAGTTGCTGCCATATAAAGACGGATAGTTATGTGCTGGATGCAAAAGCATGTTATGGGATCAAAAATGGGAAGTTCTACTATATAGAATTAGTTCTCTTTCTACCCAAATTGAATATAGGACAAGTGCATTAAAAAGTGCGAGTGGTTTTTAGAAGTTATTGATCACTCTCTTGGAAAGAGGTGAAAGAAGGAAATGGAAGGAAGATGTAAGAGAGGTATTTATGGGCTTTGTTAGAAACTTGCCTTGGAGACTTTTCTTGATGGAAATTCTCCCCTCTATTAATATCTCTCCAGATCACCAACTTATGATCCCAGCCTTTATTTTCTCTTAAAGTTCCCCTCCAAATTACCAATTGAAACTATGAAGCCATCAGTTTTTATTGTTCTTTGTGATCTCTACATAGTTTGTTCAATCTTTCATCTGTCTGCGTTAAACAGGAGCAAGAGGAACGAAATTACAAGTCTGATGATCAATGGTTCTGTTGTTTCAGACCCGGATTTGATAAAGGCACATATTACGAACTACTTTAAGAATGCTTACAGCTACAAGTCTATAATGGAAGTGGAAGCTTTATCTCTGGATTTCGCCAAGCTGACAGAAAGTCAATCTACAAAACTTGAGGAGCAGTTCAATGAACAGGAAATCTGGCAAGCAGTAGCCTATTCGGACAGCTCTAAAGCTCTAGGTCCGAATGGCTTCACAATGGGCTTCTTCAAGAAATGCTGGCCGACTCTAAAGGAGCATGTTTTGAGGTTTTTTCAAGATTTTTATTTGGGCAGGGATTGGGAACATGGGGTTAATCATGCGTTTATTACGCTCATTCCAAAGAAACTTAATTCGGATAGTGTGGGGGACTTTAGGCCAATTAGTCTTGTGGGTAGTCTTTACAAGATTCTCTCTAAAATGCTATCTAAGAGACTTAGTTGCTGTGTTGGTGACGTTATTAGTCAGTCTCAGTTCGCGTTTATACCGGGGAGACAACTGCTGGATTGTGCCTTCATTGCGAATGAGGGAATTGATTATTGGAGAAAACAAGGGTTGAGAGGAGTAGTGCTAAAAGTTGATTTCCGTAGAGCCTATGATTCTGTGGAATGGCCTATTTTATTTAGAGCAATGACAGAGATGGGTTTTGGTAACAGATGGTCTGCTTGGATTTCACAATGTCTTTCAACAGCTTCGATTTCAATTCTTGTGAATGGGTCTCCTTCGGATGAGTTCCCAATGGAAAAAGGTTTACGACAAGGTTGTAGTCTCTCTCCATTATTGTTTAATATTGTGGGTGAGTTGCTTCATTTGATGCTTTCTAAAGCAGTGGACAAGGGACTATTCCAGGGGTTTACAATAGGCAAAAATGATAATACTACTAAGCTGTCTCATCTTCAGTTCGCTGACGACTTAATCATTTTTTGCCAAGCTTCGATTTCTCAGCTCAAGAACGTTAAACGAGTGTTGAGGATTTTTAGTATAATGGCAGGTCTACATTTAAATTTGGTAAAGAGTAAGCTGTTTGGGATTAACATGGAGGACGATGAATTAAAAGATTGGGCATCACAAGTGGGTTGCTCAGTAGGTTCCTTTCCAACAGAATATTTGGGCCTTCCTTTGGGTGCCAAGAAGAATTCAGAGGCTCTTTGGGATCCAGTTTTTAGGAACTTTAGTGCCAAACTTGCTGGGTGGAAAGCCTCATGTTTGTCATTGGCCGGTAGGACTGTTTTACTGAAATCGGTGTTATATTCCTTACCAATTTTTTTCCTTTCTTTGTTTAGAATGCCATGTATTATTGGTAAGAAGTTAAACTCGTTAATGGCCAATTTCCTATGGGGTGATAAGGAGGGAAAGAGGAGAATCCACTGGGTGAATTGGAGCTTGGTATGCAGACCAATAAATTGTGGTGGATTAGGTGTTCTTGATTTGAACCTCACTAATCGGGCTCTTCTAGGTAAGTGGGTGTGGAAATTTGCCAATGACAAAAATTCCATTTGAAAAGGCGTGCTGTGTAGCAGACATAAGGTCAGTAGCAATTCTTTGTCTATTACGAAGGTCTCTCATCCTCATTCATCTTGGATTTTGAGAGGAATAGCTAATAATTATCTGAAGGATGATTCGCTGGGAGATTGTCTAAGGTCAAATTCGAAATTGAAAGTAGGAAATGGCAAGTCTATTTCTTTTTGGAATGACGTTTGGGCGGATGACTGTCCTCTGAAATTCCTTTTTCCAAGAATTTTTGTGCTCTCTCCTAATAAAGAGGGGAAAGTTGAGGAGTTTGGCAGCTTCGAATCGAGTGGTTGGGTGTGGACTGTCCAGACCAGGAGAAATTTGTGTGATTGGGAATTGGTCCAATGGTTGGAGTTGATGTCTAAGTTGAAGGATATTCAACTTTCAGAACTTGTGGATGATTTTTTATCGTGGACTGCTAGTGGAGATGGATTGTTCTCAGTTAAATCTTGTAGGAATACTCTTGGTATTATGTCTGGGGGTACTGCAGTGTGGACGAAAGGGGTTTGGCAGGGCTTTGCACCACCTCGGGTGGAAGCTTTCCTTTGGCAACTTGCTCATCAGAAAGTAGCTGTCAAAGTCGAGTTGGTCAAGAGAGGTCTACCCCTAGGGGATGATATTCTGTGTCCCTATTGTAAGAATCAGGAGGAATCTGTGCAGCATCTATTCATCTCTTGTATGGTGGTTTGGGAATTATGGAATAAGGTAGCTAATTTCTGGGATATTGCCATGGTTCTACCACAGGATCCTACTTCTCTTCTTTGTTCCTGGGGTGAGTTGAGGGCGAATTCTACAATTTGGAAGTTTATTCCGGGAGCCATTTTTTGGTCTGTATGGAAATTTAGGAACGCAAGGGTTTTCGAAGGAACTCCTATTGACAAAGTGTCACTATGCTTCATTGTTAGATTCAGGATTGCTAAATGGTTCCTAGCCAAATTTCCGGGTATTACTATACAAGAGGATGTGCTGATTGGTAATCCATCTCTAGCATATGGTGTTTCTTCTAGTAATGTTATTGATAGTGTTGTTTTGCGCTGGTTACCCCCACCAGTAGACTTGCTAAAGATGAATGTAGATGGAGCCGTTAGGCAGATTGATTCGGGTGGAGGTATTGGAGGTTTATTAAGAGATTGGAATGGTTGCACTCTTTTGACTTTCTCAGAGAGTATTGGTCAAGCAATCCCCCCTCTGGCTGAATTAAAAGCTATAAAAAGAGGCTTGGATATTTTTTTGTCTTCTAGGTGGGCTTCAGTAGCTAGGTTGATCGTTGAAAGTGATTGCTCGTCTACAGTGGAATGGATTCATTCTCCGGTTCTGGCACCTATTTTTTTCTTGCCTATTGTTTTTCAGATTTCAAGGCTTATTACTGATAAGGTTCATTCAGTTAGGTTGATTCCTAGGGAGTGTAATGGAGAGGCAGATATCTTAGCTAAGGAAGGGATTGGGTGATTGTAAGGGTCTTTTTATGATTTTCTTCATTTTGTGTGTAGGTTTTTATGATGGGAGGAGTGTTTCAGTCTTATGTCAAGCAATTTAGTGTTATTTTTAACTATTATGTAACTTTCTATATTTATAAAAGTTCCAAGGCACTCTTTCCCTCCTTCCTATGATTAATGACCTTTCTATAAGGTCCTTAGTTAAGAAGGGGGGTTTTAATGAGGCCTTTCTTTCCTATCAAAAAAAAAGGAACTGTTAATACAATGTTTGCAGCGTTATTCAGGTGAGACTTAATAGAAATGTTGGAACTTGTTTGCATCATTTAGTTACTTCTAGGTCCCTTAATTTTCTTTACCCGTTTCTTCAATATATATCTTCAGCAAGCTTGGTGTCCCTATCAAGACTACTATCTCAGCTAATGTTCTAGAGGAAGCTCTAAATGGAACTGTTACTGTTAGACCCCTTCCTATTGGAACATCAGTTAGTGGAAAGGTGTGTACTTCCTTTCTATCCAATGCACCATACACTTCCAGATATTTTCCCAAGTTCTCATGCATTTTGCTGCAGGTAGAAAAGCAGTGTGCCCACTTCTTTGGTGTAACGATAACCGATGAGCAAGCTGAGTCTGGGATTGTTGTTAGGGTAACTTCAACAGCACAAAGCAAATTCAAGGTGCATTCTCTGCGAAACTTATTTTTGAAATGAATATGGTTTAGTTGTTCGCCAACCCATAGCATATCCTCTCCGAAGCTCTTTTACTGTGTGTTTCTATGTGCATGTCCATTATGGACGAGCATGCATCTCTCTAAGGGAGCATTATTTCAAAATCCTATATTAACTCAGTGTTTCTTATGCAAAATTTTCAGTTACTTTACTTTGAACAGGACGTCAATAGTGGCTATGGTTTGGCCTTACAGGTACTAAACATTTGTCTTTATTTCTTGTCATCGCCATTGTTTTTTATTTGTTTATAATTTTTGGATTGACTTTAAGTTCTAGTCTTCAAGACATGATTTTTTATTACGTTTATTTGTTGATTGATGGCTATTGCTATATCATTCTATTAGCTTGGGTGGAAACATAAAGTTACAAAAACATAAAGTGGGAAGGCTAGAGGAAACCTCTTGAATGATTTTTAAAGAAATTTCTAGCTATTGGCCATGCTAGCAATCAGTGCATGATCATGATGAGTTTGGTCATACATAAACGGTATATATATCTAAAAATTTTCTATTCTTGGTCAGGTCGGTATTAACTTTCTGACTTTGTAGGAAATGTCTCACTTCAAGTTCTTGTTGTCAAGATGTGAAGTTTTGTTCCATCTATTTGTTGTTCGATAGTCGTTGCTATACCATTATATTTGTTGTCAGATTGGAATTTGAGAAAACTTAAAATTAGTGGTTCTGGAGTTAATTTTTCTATTTCGTAAAAGGCCTCCTTTCTGTTTTCTTTTTTTCCTATCAACCCGTAATCTTTCATGTGTGATCTACTGCATTGAATCATTTAAATATGCTGCTAATACTTAAACAACTTCTGTCGAAGGTCAAATTTGTCATCTTGACTATAAATAATAGTTGTTCTGAAGTGCTGTTATTTTCTTTCTATATTATATTCATCAGTTACTGTGTATACGATATCAGTGATAACACTGGTATTATGTATTTACTCACGCCATTATTTTCTCTGAATTGGCTGGTATTCTTGACATGTGTTGCTCTGGTTCTTAATTTTCCTTGAAGGATCTATATCTAAGACCTGTGTCAACACATATTCGGACATGAGTCTGGGGATATTACCTTTCAAAGACCCTCCAGATATAAAAATAAAATTTTGAACTCGTCAGACACATTATGTCTGACACTCACAGCCACGTTCAACTAACATTATTGTTGGCTGGTTTATCGTATAAGTCGTGAACAACATAAATATGGTGGTTACTGTCAAAAGACAAATATATTCATGCATCTGTCTATAGTTTATGTGCATATTTAATTCTTTAAAACAACAATTCGTCATTTTTTGCATCCCCAGTTATTGTTCGGTATTTAGTCCAACTACTTGAGACTTCCCATTTATCCCTTCAATACTTGGGGTTTTTCATTCAGTTAATTTGGTTACCGACAGAACCGAATAACTATTAACCGAATTAACTGAATCGAACTAAGTTTGGTTAATTTTGTAGGTTAACTGAATTAATCAAAATTTATAAATAATATATATATTATATATTAAATATTTAATATTTTTGGTTAATTCGGTTAAAACCGAAGTTTAAAAACCCCTAAAGCTAAATAATATATATAAATATATTAAATATTTAATAATTTTGGTTAGTTAACCGATTTAGAACCGAATTAATAGATAACCAAAGTTTGAAAAAACCGTTAACCATTAACCAACCGATTAATCGGAAAAAATTCGGTTCGGTTGAGTAATTCGGTTTTAACCGAATTATGAACACCTCTAATACTTCATGTCAGATTCAGAGACGGGACTAGGATCAAATATTGGGAGGGGCAAATTACCTAAATTCAAAACAACAGGGACTTATTAGGTATTTAATCTAAAAAATTGGAGGGGTCAAAAGTGGAAATTTACTTAAGTTTAAACTGATAGGGATCTAAAATTCTATTAGACCATAAATATGATAAGAACCAATTGTACCTTCGTCCCTGGTCGGATTGTCTTTATTTTTCTACATGGTTCATTTAATGTCTACTAGTGCCCTGCTGTTCAACAAAAGCTCGTGCTTGTTTGATGTTTATACAAGTGATTTTATCTTTTTTGCTGCAAAATTTGTCCTCTGTCATTGTCTTGGAAATTAAAGGATAACTTGTTACTTGTAGTCGTGTTTCTGAAGTAGTTAGGCATTTATTCTTACAGTAGTTACTTCTTGTTTATGATTTCACTGTCTGTTTACAGGAAGACAGTGAGAAGACGGGCAAGGTGACATCTGCTGGCATGTATTTCTTACATTTTCAAGTATACCGAATGGATTCCACTGTAAACGCTGTGAGTTGTCATTTCTGACTTTATCTTCCTTGTCTCTGCTGGATGTCCGGCTTCTTGTTACTGATGATTTATGCATGTGTTATGCAGTTAGCAATAGCTAAAGACCCTGAATCCGCTTTCTTTAAAAGGTTGGAAGGTCTTCAACCTTGTGAAGTTTCAGAACTAAAAGCTGGCACGCATATATTCGCCGTTTATGGTTCGACCTGTTTGTTTTGCATGTTAATTTGCTAAAAGTTTGTTTCTAAGTATTTCTGTTATTGATTGACTGGTTTGCCTGAATTTTTGCAGGAGATAATTTTTTCAAGACTGCAACTTACACAATCGAGGCGCTTTGTGCAAAGACATACGAGGATACCACTCAGAAGCTCAAGGACATTGAAGCTCAGATTCTAAGAAAGAGAAATGAGTTGCGCCAATTTGAAACGGAATACGGAAAAGTATTAATCGAACCTTGTTCCATTTGAGGCTTGGTATAATCATGAACTTTACACTATCTGTACAATTCTGGTGGGGTATTTTGTAGGCATTGGCACGCTTTCAAGAAGTGACCAATCGGTACACCCAAGAAAAGCAGACCGTATGTTTCTAGACTTTTATCTTGCAATGATATTGTTTTTCCTGCATTCATGCAATCCTTTCAATTGAGGTAGCTGGCTACATGCATATAATGATATATTTTTTCTTTATATATGCACGTTTAATGCACTGGCTCGTACACAGTTGTACATGTACATTATAATATTTAATAATGGTTATAAAAATGCTTCCGAGCTTCTTGATTTTTCCAAAAAAGTAATTGCTCATTTGGGTTCACTTCTTTCTCATATTGTTTAACGATCAAAACTGTAACTAGAGTCATGTACATGTTAGATTTAGGTGTAAGTCTCGGGTATGAGTATGCGTCCGACACAGGGGCGGATGTACATGGCTCCCCTAGGGGGAGCCATTGCACACCCATTATTTTGAGAAAAGTGTCAAATTTAGTTTAATTTGTTAATGGGAATAATAGGGTATTAAAATTTTGGACTCCCATTTTGTAACTTTTAGATCCACCACTGGTCCGACACAAATATATTTAAAATTTCTAGGTTTTCCATGTATTCAGAGAAATAATTGAAGGTCATATATATCTCTCTACTCATATGTGTTGGTATTGGACATGAGTACTTAAGAATAATGAAGTTAGACCAACATGGGAGTCTTGTAAATATATTGTTGATTCGACTCCGGGTTTTGACATATATAACACAGGTAGACGACCTGATGAAACAGCGCGATGGCATCCATGCTACATTCACTGTAACAAAACCACAGAGCAGTGCCAGCAATTTAAGCAACGGAAGTAGCAGCAAAGGTCCTGGTGAGACGGAGAGTCCTACTGCAGAAGACGGAAACTCAGAGGGGAAGGATAAATCAGGTAAAAAGAAATGGTTCAATTTGAATCTAATGGGATCTGATAAAAAGCTTGGTTGAAATGGGTATTTTAGATAGGTTCTTGTGTTCTTTACATGAAATATTTGTCAATACTCTGCTGCCTGCTATATAAGCTTTGGCTTGTATTTATTTATTCATTCATTTTTTTTCTTCATGTTTATGGCTGTTCAGCTATGTTAAAGTATGATGATATTAATGCCAGTGTTTTTTTTCCTATAGACTATTGCTCAAATTGAAGTTTTTCAACACTAATTAAAAATAAGAGGGATTCACTTATACTAGTTTAAATTAAGTGTAAAGTGCACAAATGGTCTCTCGAATATAGGGTGATGCTTTGTTGAGTCTCCCGATTATTACAGTTATAAAATGGTCCCCTAACTCTATTTTGTTGAGTCCTCTTACTATTAAAAGTTACAAAATGATCACTTGATTATTTTACATATTCCAAACTCATCATTTTATATTAAAAAATTGGCGGTCATCTGAGTTGGATGTTAATTTGTTGACTAGAATATGATAAAATATTATCTTAAAATCGTTTGAGTTGTATTTTATGGATCGATTCTTCTTTACATTATGTCGTTGAGCCAATGCTTGAATGCAACGGCGTTGTCATTAAAATACTATGAATCCTCTCTAGATTTTGCTTTAAATGCCATAAAGCCATATTAGTTGGGAACTTGCCTCTTGTTCTGATTTCCATCATCCTAGTTGAAATGTAATTCACAGGAACACATGGGTTGACACCGAGAATAGAGAATTCATTATCAGGAGTATACTAGTCTATCGGATATCAACTAATCAGTTTACTCATAACTCATAAGTAATACAACGACCACTAGTGCTCAGATTGTATCTTCCTATTATTATCAATTTCCTATAAGTCGGATCAATCAAGTATTCTAAATTAGGATTAAATATAGAGTCTTGGTAATACGAAATCCTTTCAAAATCACCGTGGTAATGTTTTTTTTTTAATTCTTTTTCTTTCCAAATGTTTCAAACCAATGCATATAGTAAATTTATTTTAAGTACAAAAGTGGTTTATGTGAGGCCCATAATAGAGTTTTAAAACTTGGTTTTATATCACTAAATGTAACATTTAATGTTCAATTTAGAATTTAATAAAAAAACGTAAGTAGTTAGTTTTACAAATTGTTGTAAAACTAATAATTAAAACAGTATCAGAAGCTTAATAAATCGTATTGTCTATAAAGAAAGAAAAGAAAACAGGATAAGCGAAAGGCTCAATATGGTTCGAAGGTTCTCGAGATAAACATGATGCAATATAACACATATAATAAATTTACAACAGAGATAGCTGATAAAAGATTCAAAGTAGCAGGATGATAGAACAACTGAGATAGGATGACAGGGATTACGAGACATGAAAAACAAGATGCAATATGTATAGACAATGCGATTAATAACCCCTAACTACTCAAAACACCTTATTTTCAGAATATGCAACCTTACGCGAATAATAAGAGTATGAGATTATCGATGGATAAATGAAAGAACTAGACAAACAATGTGTAAGATTACCTACCGATAAACATAAATAACCATCAAGGATGTATTGTTACGAATGTATATTTTGAAATGCACCATCAAAAAAAAGTAACAAAATATGTATATTTTTATATTCAAAAGAAAATCACCAATGATGTATTATCTAATTTTTTAAATTTAAATCGAGCCGAAATTTTTTTTGGGTTGAGTTTTCCTTATTCTTACATAACTTATATATATATTTATTTATTTATTTAAATTATATTTTATTTTTTAACATATGATGGGTCATGCCTAGGTAGACCTAGACCTAAATATGTCCCTTATGACTATCAAACATTCAAAGTATATAATATAGCTCCTCTATGCAAATGAGATGACTCTCTCTGTTAAAATTCACTTAACCTCTTGAATTGAACTTTAATCTATCATTAACTCTCATCTCATATAAAAAAAAATTGATGAATCTCAAATAACTAGCCTGACCACCTCACTTCCCACAACATTAATCACTATAAATTATCATCTTACGTGTTGTATATCAACGATATAATTACATATTATAGAAATATTTGAAATTATAATACGAATATGATATAAAATGAATATAGAAATATCAAACTTTTATAGTATAAAAAGTGAATTATAAAAAATACACTAATATAAAGTAATCAAAATACTATGCATACAAATATACGAAAATAAATACACTAGACGAGATTAAAAATAACGTGTTATATATATATATATATATATCAAACGGTAGTTACGCCAACCTCAAACTCAAAACGACACCCGGGAGAAGTCAGGCCCAAAACCCCCTAATCATAAAACCAAGGCGCACTTTAGCACGAAGCATTTCACCGAAGAATGGAATTACTAAAACACCCCCAGAAATCTCAATAACCCGAACTTTAAAATCGCGATTGGCATCAGCAATTAGCAAACAATGATTCCTCAACGGGAAATCAAAATATATAAACTCTCGAAGCGTTCTCCGTCGGGTCGGGTGTTTAAACATTGAGTTAGCGCTGTGTTTTTATGCGATCAATGGTGTATTCTGATGAGTCAGAGATGGCGATGGGATCCCAGAGATTGAATCCTCTTCACAATTTCAAGCTGCCATGTTTGAAGTGGGGGAATCAGAGGCACCTGAGGTGTATAAAACTCGGCGATGCTTCCATCGCCACCGACTCATCCTCCTCCTTCAATGATCGTCATCTTCTTCGGCGTTTTCATTTGGTTCAGAGACGTCGATCTCCTCCGTCTTCGAAATCTGAGGGATTAATGGTTGGTGGGACGAGGCGGCATGAATCGGAGTCTTATCCGAGCAACGATTATGGGAGGGAGGGGAGGCTTAGGGTGTCGAAGGTAGAGGCGGAAGAGGGGATCGAGGCAGTCAGGGAGAAGATTATGAAGGATCTTAAAACGGCGGCGGATAAGATCAAAGATGATTTTTTCAGAGACAAAGCTTCCGACGGTGATGAGGTGGAGGCCGGTGAGAACGAATTCAAAGAGCCTAAACTCAAACGAAAAGAGAAAGAGAAAGAGAGGGAAGAATCGCCGGCGGTGGAGGTGGAGATGAGGCCGTGGAATCTCAGGACGAGGCGTGCGGCTTGCAAGGCTCCGATTGACGGAGGAGGAACGAACAATAACTACAATTCTGCAACTAGAAATAAGGTGATCAACTCACTCAGAGTAAGAGACAGAGGACAGCCGGTGGTGTCGGCGGCGGCTGACGAGAAGAAAAAGGAACGGTCGGAACTCTCGGTGACACTGTCGAAGCAAGAGATCGAGGAGGATTTCATGGTTATGGTTGGGCGTCGCCCTCGGAAAAGGCCAAAGAAACGCGCACGTTATGTTCAAAAGGAATTGGATGTAAGTTTCAATCCTTCTTCTCCACTCGTTCCGGTAATGATTTTCAGTTTGTTTATGGCCTTCTTCAATTTGACTGAGCTTTGCTTGTGGTCGTAGGCGTTGTTTCCTGGCTTACTGCTGACGGAGGTGACGGTGGATTCTTACAAGGTTCCGGAGCTCATTGAAAACGGCAATGTAAGTTCGAATATCCTCTAACGCGATAACTTCAAACCCCTAAAAAAAAAACCCACTTTTTTCTCTGTGTTTCCAACAATTTCTCAGCAACCAAACAAATGGTATTGATTGTAATATAAGATGTCTGCATTTTGATCGTGCAGATGGATTGTTTCCTTTAGGTGAGTTATGGTAATTTCCTGACCATCGGGAATATTTCATATAAATGCTCTTCATTAATTTCCTTCTTTGTCTAAAGCTGAATAGTATTGCACAAAGAACCCATCTTTGATGTTTACTTGTTAAAAATTGTCTTAATCAGTCCTAATAATATATATGCACCATCTTGAATTTGAGTGTTCCAATGGTCTAGTTATTTAATATACATTCCTAACTACTTGACTATGGGATCCAGACTACTTTCATTAAGCATACAACTTTAATCATCTTGAATTGTATTTATATTATTAACAGTTATATAAATTAAGTTTACAAATTAATTGAGATTTATGAATTTTTCCTTTAAACATAGTTGAAAGATCATCATCAGATTATATTGTATAATTCTAAGGGTTGTCTGTAAATTCTTGCATATTATATAATAAGTTGTATATAAAACACATATATTTTGTTTCCGAATTTTCAAATTCATATTTTTATGGCCTTGTGAACAAGAAATATTAAAAAAATATAACTATCCAAAAATTTATTATATAAAATATAAAAATTATTTAAAACATGAAAATTTATAGTCTTATCATAAATAAGCAATAGACTTCGGTTGACCATAGATAATTGAAGTTTTTTTTTAATGAAAGTGTTCAAAGTCTTTAATATTTTCTTAAATATTTCTAATTTTCAAATAACTTATAATTCATCGTTGTACAGCTACGATATTCCATATATATATTTTTAATATTTTTAGTATTTTTTAAATAATTTAATTTTTAGTTTTAGATTTTATATTTATATTTTAATAGTTGTTTATATTTTTATATTTAAATTTAAATACTTTTTGTTTTTTAAAAAATTTAAATAAGTCATCCAAACCTTTTTTTTAAATCAATTAAATCATTGAACTTGATAAAAAAGTAAAAAAGTTCATTTGTTTATGTCATCATCTATTATGGACTAATATGCTAGTACTTTGGATTGTTATGTCAGTTTTATGAATAGTTATATCAACGTCGAAACGATCAAAGTCCAGTTTCGTTGGTAAAAGGGTCAAATTCATTTTATTTCTTGGTTTAAGGACCACATTAAGTACAGAATAAGTTCAAGGATTACATTGAATTTTTAAAAAAGTTTGAGGATCTCAAATACTATTAAGCCTAAAACTTTTAACTGATTTGCATTCGAAAAATTCGTCAATTAACCAACATAAGCAGCTCTAAGGATTTAATTGAACGACTCAATTTTTCTTTTTCAAATCAATCCAAATGACAAAATTATAAGTAGTAAAACGCAATTGGACATACAATCATATTGTAACATACATTGCAATCTAAATTGAAAACAAATTGTACTAGTTAGAAAAATTAGGGAATATCATATAATTTATAAATAGAATTAAAGTTTGACCTCAATTAAATACTTTTATTTTAGAGACTTGAATGGGATAAAATGTAAATTTAAATTTAAGAGTATATTGATATAATTTAAAATATATTAATATTAATTAAGATTATGCTGATATTAAATAATTTTAATCTTACTTTAACTTAATATTGTTTTTACATAATATAATAAGCTTAAGGTTTGGTTTAGTGATTTGATGGTCGATTATTTTTCTAAAACACTTTTTTTTTAAAGAGGATACTTTGTATTGAGAATAATTACAAAATACACCACCTCAAGAGCCTCATTAAAAAACCTCCTTAATCCTACGTAGAGGAAAAAGAGTGAACTTGGGTGGTAAGGATCGAATTACAAAAACATGTAAAGAACAATCGGATCATCCCCGCTCTTCCCCATTCCCCTATCCCTCTGTATAAACCGAGGGGAAATGAGTTTAGAGCAAAAGAGTAATCTTACAGAGACGACAAAACCTAAGAAAATTAATAACGCATCGAAACAAACCAGTCACATCTTCCTGAAATAGCACAATAACTACCACTTGAAACAAAAAATACTCCCTTGCCAAATCTGATCCTATAAGCCTGGCGCACCTACTAACAAAACATCTGCCTGTCAAGGCAAGAAGAGTTACTGCTTACAGAATAGCGAATGGAACCACGACCAACATGCAAAATTTGCCTCCAATCTCGTGTAAGAACAGGAGCAAACTGAGCCAAGGAAGATACACACAAACACTATATGAAGGACACATTACGCATCTAAAAGACTGAAATACCGATCTAGGAATATAACAGCAAAACAAGGATCAAATAAATAATCCAAAGCAACGAGCAGACTAGAGCAGGACATCAGTAATATTTAGTAAACGTTGCCAAAAATAATGGACTCCGGAATGCGCACGAAATCTAGTGCCTGAGGAACCCGATACGGCCAAAGAATATTAGCCCAGAACCCGACCTGCAATAAAACCATATTGAAAATATGATCGACTGAGAAAGACTTGCCATGGAAACGATATTTGTTCCTGCACAACCAAATCTGCCAAATCAAGCCGAAAAATCCGAGCTGCCAAAGATTCCTAACTTTCCTTCTAATAAATTGTGACGACCATATCTCCATCAACTGTTTGACATTCGATGGAACAATGATCGAAACTTTCCATAAATTGCACCACCTTTGCCACACTTGCCAAACAACATTACAATGGCACATCACATGAGGAACATCTTCCGAAAGATCTTTACAAAACAAACATAGAAGCTGAACACCACCGTTTACCCCTCTCTTAATTAATTCTGTCGCAACCGACAACCTATTATAAACCGCTTTCCAAACGAAAGCCGCCACTTTAGGAGGCACGAACTTGTTCCAAACTTTGTTCCATATAGGATCTTGAAGCTTGCCAAATGAAGTCGACTTTATGCAGAAATCTCTAGAGTTATAAGTGCCATTTAAAGCACCTAACCACCTCAATCTATCAATCCCGGCCATTGCAGCAACACCTCTGTTGATAACTTGAAAAAATTGATCCCAAATCGAGACCTCCCAAGAAAACAGCCCACGCCTCAAGTCAATGCTCCAAACCCATATTCCATTCTCCCAACTCCCGAATTCGTTAATCTTGCCTTGTTTTTTAATAGCCATCCCATAGATGCGAGGGAAAGCTACTTTCAACGATCGAACCTCGGTCCAATGATCATTCCAAAAATTTATACGAGAACCATTACCCATAACACACCGAACATCAACAAGGAAGTCATCCTCATTCGACATCACCGGACGCACGATGTCATGCCACAATCCATTCAATCTTCTAACGGTATTGCCTTTTGGAAAAATTGCAGCCGGATCATAGTTATACTTGGCGACAATGATCTTTCTCCATAAATTGTCGGACTCCTCACTAAAACGCCAAATCCACTTATTCAACAATGCACGATTCCTAACTTTAACATCAAAGAAGCCTAGGCCACCATGGGATTTCGGACCACTAACCATATCTCACTTAATCCAATGAATACCTCTATCAGACTTTACATTCCACATAAAATTAGCTATGCATTTATTATTTGATTCCGCTATGAACTTAGGCATAGGAAATAACGACATATAATACACCAGTAAATTAACCAACACATATTTAATTAATGTAATCCTTCCCCGAGAGAAAGAAGCTTACATTTCCAGCTTTGGAGACGGATTCTAATTTTCTCCATAATAGGATTCTAATTTTTCTAAAACACTTAAGGTCATATTCTTTGGATTGGGTCCTAGTTTTTATATTTGTTTTATAAATGATGAAACATGTCATATTCTTATGGATGGAATTAATACATTAAATAAAAATAAATAAATAATATTATAAAATAATAATGGCTGAAATATAAAAATTAAAAATACGTCAGAATCAATTTTGAATTAAATAAACTTTTAGAGATTAAATTAAACAAAAGTAAAATTTAGAAGACTTAACATGTCATTTATCATTTAAAGTCATCTGTTCAAAATTATCATGGGAAGCGCTATAATTGGCTGATTTTTTTTAACAATGGTAAAAAAAATAAGATAATTGAAATAATTTACGAGACAACATTTTAAAAGTAATTTAAAAGCAACTCAATAAAAATATAATTTTAGAGATAAATCAACCTTTAACCCAAAAATAATAAATGTATTCATAGGGACATCTTATGTTATAATTTGAAGTCAAAACTTTATTTAAATAATTGAAACTTTATTGCAGTAAAATTTATTTTTCTTAAAAAAATACATGCAGTGATGGTTAACTTCATGATATATAAATACATATTTTCTTTGATTTCGAATATTCATGTTACATTTATATTTCTTCTGAATAATATGATGTAAATACAAGACAATATATGTTCAAAGATAACTATCAATCGTTTAACATTAAACGCTCACATCACTAACAATCATGGTGCTCGAACCCAAAACCTCAATAAATAACAACGATTTATTTTTCTATATCGAAAAAACTTTTTTATGATAATTTTGTATTTTGCTTTTAAAATATTATATTTAAATAACTCAACTCTTTCTTTTAAGATTAAACAATTACTTATAAAAGAAAAGGTAATGAATGGTCATCCAACTATATTCTGAGGTTAAAATGATATATTTTTATTTTAGTCATCAACGTTAAAAATTTAACAACGTTGATGTGAACTTTTTTTTTCTTTTCATTTTTAACATTATTTTCTTTCTCTTCATCAGTAGTTTACGTACTATTTTTTGATGATTTTATACAAACTAATAAAACGGTGATATATATCATCATTTTATTCAATGAAAATAAAGTTCAAATTTTGGCTATGGGGAGGCATGAGCCCAAGACAAGGGCTCTAGCGTTCAGCCACTCAACTAGGCCAAGAATTTGATAAAGTTTTACCCAAATAAATATTTAAATTAAACTAGTTGGCAGATGAAGTTAACGCTGCCAAGTCGACTATTATTCAATTTGGCATTTCATCGAACATTGGAGATGCTGAAAATGCAATCAAGAAAGATAACCCGACTTTCGAACTGAAGGAGAAGGTTGCCGAAAGAGATGATTTTGGGGCTGTGGAATATAAAGTTGATATATAAAAGCAAGAGGAAAGAGGGTTTTGTCACGATAAGGAAGAAAATGAGAGGTTTAATAGAATATTGAATCACTATGTCGAGTCTCACAACTTCCATAACTTCACTACAGGAACAAAAGTCGAAGACCCTATTGCTCGTCGATATATTGTTTCATTTAATGTGAACAA